TCCATCTTTGGCGTCCCCATCTCGGATTTGCGATCGCAAAAACGCGAGAGAGTGAGCAATTGCTATCGCTTACATCATTTAGAGATAAATAGTACCTAAAAAGAAAAGAAAACAGCGAGAAAACATCAGAATCGCTTAACGGAAGGGTTGCGTCCTCCAAGAATCTAGGATGGGTACGCCAAAGATGGACGGTGTGTGCAATGGCACACATGATCATATGAAATGAACCGACTGTACATCATTGAAAAGGTGCGCACTGTGTTTCGATGAATGCACTTGGCTTCGAAATGAGAATTTTACTTTTTGAAAAGGCCGATCGGTAGAAACACGTGCGACGAAAACACTTACGCTGTGTGTGGCACTCAGACTAAACCTCAAATCAATCCTTCCTCACTCAATGAACTTTGCGTACAACACGCTGGCGTGGAGTGAGCCGTGATGGTCGTTCGTTGCGTAAAAGGTCATGTTTTCGCGTGTAATCCGCTGAGGCTGAGAGTTTTTTCTCGAAAAAATTACAAACACAGGATTGAAGTAGCAAAGCATAGGGTTGAGCCAGACTTCGCGGGGAAGCGGCGTACGCGGCGTACGTCGCGTACGCCGCGCAGTCTGGCCCAACCCATAGCGACGCCCTCTAATCAATAAGCATTTCGAAAATGGACGCATGCGAAACGCAGTGATGCAGATCTTTGAGCGCAAAGAGAGCACGCTTGTAGTCGAATGATGTGACAGCGGCGAAAATGTTGAGAGAAAGGCACTTTTATGTTTACATTCGTAAAATGAGTGAATAGATGGTTTTTTACGGTTTTCGAGAGAGTTTGAAAAAGAGTTTTTATTACATTGTGCAGTGGATGTTTTGATTCAAAAACAAACGGGGCTTTCATTAAGCACTTCTTCCGGTTGGATAGACAGTCAAACATAGAGAACAAAAGAAATCTGATATATAAAGAATCGTTAGCTCAATTCAAAAATCTTCAAATAGCGGGGAACCACGACGAGTCCCGAAGCAAACGCTCTTCCAAATAGCGCCTATAGGTACTGGTTCACTAGTACTTGAAATGAAGCACTGAATGATAACGAAAATGAAAACAAAGAAAAGCAAAGTTGAAAACAAAGATTAGGCAACAAGAAATGAAAAAATGACGCGAGCCCACGCTGCCAATCTCGTTTGCCTGCACATCTAACTTTTCTGGTGCGATCAACAATGTCTCGAGCGGGCAACGATATGGCATCCAGTTGGCAGCCACAATACGGCGTTATGAATTAAGGCTGCCTGCTCATAGCATTGATGCGGCCCGCTGACAGAAATCTTGTATTCGCAGCCCCATCGTTTCACGGTCGCTGCCAGCTTAACGGAGTCGCTGCCTCATCGTCGCCTTTTGGCTGCTTTTGTAGGAATGAATGCGCTCTGCAGCTATTTTCTGACTCATGGAAGATTATAGCTGCCCGCTGGTAGCCCGTCGCTGCCCGCTCACCGCCATTCCTACAATGTCGTCGCCCGCTCATTGCCACTTTTGCAGTATCGCCGCCCGCTCACTGAAACTGCCCTTTATCGCCGCCGGCTGAGAGCCTGTGATTGTCTGAGCATGTGTTTTCAGTGGGAAACACATGCTTTAGATGTTAGTGTCAAAAAGACTCCCACATAATGTTTTTGTGCATACGCGCGTGTGCATGGGCCAAATGCGCGAAGGGGGTGCGGGAACTTACCTACCCGAAAGACTTGCCGCAGCGTACCTCAGGTATCATGAGCAATCAGATAGCAATTAGCATAGCGTACAGGCCTAGTCTGTGTGTGTTCTAAGCCCGCCCCATCCACGACGCTTTCGCAATGCATCCATCAGTCATGAAACCGGGAATTCAGTAGAATCACAAAACTGATGTTCAGCGACTATCTTCAATTTCGATTAAAATACAGATTTAGGGGTTTTCTGAGGCGCTCTTTTCAAATATGCTATTGGTTTTGCGTGTTTTTTCTTGGAGAGCCGCAACTTTACCTTGGTGAATTCGAATTTTAGCTTAAGAAATCTCGGCAAAAAAGAAACATACCTTAGGAGCGTGTAAAACTGCTTTTTCACTGTTTTTCTGGAACGTTAGAAAATGACCATTTTTCTAGTGAGAACATCATGCCCTGAGGATGTAACCTTAATGATAAAAGACTATGAAGGTTAGCTAGTCTATCAAATGATCAATGTGTACAGGTCGCTGCACATATTTTTGTAAATTTAATATTCTATCTATATACAGAAAATGAAGTTCAGCACAATTTAAATATACCTGGTCTTTGTAATCTATAACATTTTTTTACAGTCGGATGTTCACATTTTTGAGTTTATGGGTTTTTTTGCATAAAATTACGAATTTCTAATTCGGCACTTTCATAATCAGATTTGCTTAATCTTCCTAATGACAACCATCTTTTTTTCTTTCCATTAGCTCCATTTTGAGCCTCGCAGCCATCTTCTAGCACATTATGGCACCGAATCAGCCTCGATGTCCTCAGGTATTGCCAGGTTTTTTGGCATGTCTTGGTTCAGTGCCAAAAAGGTGCAATGTATGGGCGGGGCTTAGATTAGAGCTGTATCCCAAGGAGATCGAATCAGCGAGCTCGCTATGACTAATTATGCCCCGCAGACACATACCCATGAGGTGCGAGATTATCTCGGGTAGGTAAGTTCCGTTCCCCGCGCGAAGGACGTTAGTGAGGTTTTGCCCAGAATGGCGCGGTCGCCAACGTGTTAAGAATGATATAGCAGTAATAAACTGCGTCACAATTACCGTTGACAGCAGTACATGCTCAGAAATCATGGAAACAACTACGACAATGGTTTTTTCGAAGATTAGCAGGCGTTTTCTTTGAAAAATTTGGGCAACCATGACCTACTTGAAATGTAAAAATAATTAGACTATGCTCATTGTGTAGCCAAAAGCTAGTAAGTGATGTCTTAGGCCTCGGGCAGAGTTCACGCGACTTCATTGTCGCGATTGATCGCGACAAGACGACTGTGAAAAATCTATGTTCCAAATATCAAACTTTGCACACAAATGTTTTGGACCTCAGCGAATATATTAGGCCCGTAATTGCAAGGATTTGCTGGGCCTTTCGATTCATTAGTCTGTTTACTTACTTCTAGGAGAATGAAAGCTTATCAGTCATTATCATACAGTGCTGGCCATAGCTATAAAGCCACCCTAAAAATCACCGTAATTTGCTCTCTCTTGCTCATAATTGTCTGACAAACCACTATTTTGTGCGCAAGCTAACGTCATACCATTGACCAAAACGGCTCCCAATTTTATGGATTTTGGCCGGAGAAAACTTTAGAAATTTTGAAAAAACGGGTTCCGAAGGCTGGTCACAGCTATAAAGCCACCTCTCGTTTTCAATCAGTACTACGTTTTTTGAATCTCAAATTTTTTGTACATATACAACATCAAAATATGAAACATTTTTACACGTGAAAGGAGTCGCCTTTCAAAAAGAAGATTCGTACTGCATTTTTTGCTCTAAATTGCATAATAACTCACATTATTTGCGAAAAACTGCTTTTTCACTAAATTTTGAAGCACTCGTTTGACTCGGATGAACGTCCTAGGATTTGCTTAGCCTTTGCAATGGACGAGGTGAAAAGTGCTGGACTCAACATTGCGTAGTCGCTAATCTTGGTAAACGAGCCTCACCTTATCGAGGTGTAAGCGCGCTTTTGAGGCGCAAAACTAGATTCCTGACACGCGAAAACTTTTGGTTGGAAGTTGACACCTTGTCTGCATGGCGACGTACTCATGCAGAAGCCGCCAGGTTTTTTTACAAAGACCTATTTGCCGCAATGAAGTTAGAACGCTTTGTCTGCAGTCCGGTTGTGCGCAGTGTATCTCACAAGACTTCAAATTTCACTGCTTTGAACTCCTCATCAATTCAAATCTTACTAAACTGTCAGGAATAGAAGGATTTTGAACTTCTGAGCGGTATTCCGCTCGATCGAGGTGGTTAGAGTGGATCATGATCAGACGGAGTGCACCACTCATTTTTGGAAAAAAGGCGTAATCGGAACCAGAGTCCTCAGAGTTGCAATGACGTACAGGCTGTGCACACGAGTCTGTCGTTATACAAGCGACGTGCTGAGCACGCGACAGAGCTTTTCGGGCATTAGAACTCAATTTCTGCGGTTCGAAAACTCGTCTACCTGGAGGTGAGGTTGGGGCTCGTTTATCAATATCAGCGATTACGCAATGTTAACTCAAGCGCTTTTCGCCATATTCATTGCAAAGGCTCGGCAAAGCATAGGGCCTTCATCCGAGTCAAGCAAGTGCTTCAAACTTCAGTGAAAAAGCAGTTTTTTGCAAATGATGTGACCTATTATGCACTTTAGAGCAAAAAATGCAGTACGGATCTTCTTTTTGAAAGGCGACCCCTTCCAAGTGTAACAAATGTTTTATGTTTTGATGTTCTATATGTACAAAAAATTTGAAGTTCAAAAAACCCAGTACTGATTGAAAATGAGAGGTGGCTTTATAGCTGTGACCAGCCTTTGAAACCCGTTTTTTCAAATTTTCAATTTTTCTCCGGCCAAAATCCATGAAATCAGGAGCCGTTCTGGTCAATGGTAGGACGTTAGTTTGCGCACAGAATAGTGGTTTTTCAAACAAATAAGAGCAAGAGAGAGCAAATTACGGTAATTTTTAGGGTGGCTTTATAGCTATGGCCAGCACTGTATTATATCATCTCCGCAAAAAGTGTGGGAAGGATCGGTGAAGCTCATTTACATTTTGTGATATGGATCATACGGTGCAAAGTGAGGCAGTTTGGAAGAAAGACAAATCATCAAATCCATCACAGAAGCCGCAGAACCGTTTAAGAGAGCTGGACAGGAACTAATAGAAAGAGAGTAAACAAAAGAAACAAAATGTGAGGACAAGGTTTTACTTAGTTCGGACCCAATACCTTTCATTTGATTTAGACCCATGGTCCGGGCAAGCAGGGAACACCACTTAATCTATAAACTTCAAATCTTTATTGAGATTTGTAATTGTCGGATTCAGCTGAACGCGCAGCAATCAATCATTGTACACACAACAATCAAACAGTATGCTCAATTCTGGGATATATGGTGTGCGAATGTCAAAAGAGATAGAATGTACAACACACTCTTGTCTAGAAATTAAATCACTTTAAAACGCAAGTTTCATATAAATAACAGCGAGATGATAAGTGAGTATGTGACAATTGTCCCGAATATTTTCAAGATCAAGGCACTTAAAGCAAAGCGGGAGGTAAGACCAAAGGTCTACCGTATCATGACCTCATTTCACTTTGTGCGCCTTCATTTTTTCTTTTATAGATCTCAGAAAGGGCAGCAGTGGACGTTCGGAGGAGAGGGAGCGCTTTTGCCTGAAACAGTTTATACAGAAGATTGCGACTGGTCAAAGAGAATATTTTCTATTTTCGAAATCATCAATAAGTATTTTGGTTCTTTGTAAGCATCTCACACTCAACTTTGAAGACTCACATCAAGCAGTGAGTCATAGTTCAATTCTCTAATCGTTTACCATATTTGTCATCTACAGTAACTACTTTTCACCAAAACGAGAATGCAGATGCGCGCATTGTGTGCAAAGCATGAACTTTATGACATTGCTATGAGTCATTAAATAAAAACTTACTTTTGTGCGTGCTCTTCTTCATCTCGCAGAACTACTTCAGTTCCTTCTACACGATTTGGAGACACTAAGGAGTATGTAGACCGATAGACCGATTTATCTGAATTGTCAGTGTTTATTGGTTGATCCAAACAAAGAAGAAGCTAAATTAGCAAACGCTTTCTGATTTGAACATGTAAATATCTAGGTCATCTACTAAGGTTTTCAAATGCTAGAAAATGGTCCGACTTCAGACAAAATTTTGAGGTGGTCGGTATCAAAAGCATTTCCTACCAACTCGAGCGCACAATCAATATTCGACTGTGACTCCGAGGAGAGCTATAAACGAAAAAAGTCTAAATGCTTTCTCAGTGAGTCATCTCAGGCAACATATGATTTAATTTTTTTATAAGTAAAAAAAACTACCTTTGATATCGAGTTTTTCTAGTTCTGACTCAAATGTCTTGTACGAGTCAACAGGGCTTTGTATTTGCTCCTCGAATCGATTGGCGAACGTTCGCAGGAATAATTCTTCCCAAAGCTTGTTCGGTTCGGATCTCTGCAACAACGTCTAATTTGGCGAAGATGAATAGACAAGAATTTATAGTGAACTTTTGCACCGATGAAATAAAAAGGTTTCATTAATGCGTGCAGATGGTGAGCAGTAAAGTCAACACCTAAAAGAAGTGCACGTCATTTTGTGCACGCTATCTGTTCGGTTTTTTGTTCGAATCATGCGCAGCGCAGCTGAATGACGATTTTCGAACTTTTTTGCGGAGTCATTTTCAGTACTCATGGTCTGCCTTTGGGGTTTGCTTTGTGACTATTTGCTTGCTTTCCTACTCAACTTTGGCTTTGCTAGTATAATCCTGACTAAATGATAGTGCTCAAACAGACGTTTGCTGAATGCTTGACCATGGAGCAATAAAAGAGGACTTCTGTCTATTTGGTTCAAGGATAAAAATATTTTACAAGAGGGACGATTTGGCATTCATACCCTTCCCAAAGGGAAATCCGTGGACTGCAGAGGGATGCCTCAGAGCGAAGCATTTGCTTTATGACATCAGGGCATAGATTTGAAAGCAATTAGATGACACCCCAATTTAACCATAACTGCTCAGCAATCGCAAAATTTTTACCTTGGATATTGCAGGGATCTGTTTATCTAAATACGATTGCGTGGTATTGTGGATTGTAATCACTAGCTCTAGCACAGGCTTACAAAGTCTTTGACTGTAGCTAATACAAGCAGAGAACCCTCATGTTTACTTTTGCACGTCAAGTAAATGCTTTCTATTGTTATGAAGTGCGAACATGTATATGGTATTAGAATCTCTTGAGGGGACATAAACTTGTACTTTCAGTCTACATTTCATAACAAGATTATGAGATGTGTATGCCTTTCCATTCCCGCTCCAATGATTTTTCAAAATTGTATGAGGATTATGCGCATTCTCAACCGCAAAAACATTACGCATGAGTAGAGATGACAAGAGCTTCGCGAGTCGAGTCGCAGGTTTTATGACTTCCCAGAAGGCTAAACCTTCCTATATTGTAACGGTGTATCCAGGATTTTCGTTCGGAGGTGGGAGGGAGAAAGGCAAAATATTTTCGAGTGAATGTGAGTGGCGTCAGCCATGCACTTCATAAACATTTTTTTGGAATGCTTAGCGCAATCTTCTGGCCTATGACCACTATTTTTAGGGAAAGACATCAGCCACGCCTCCGAAATTTTTTTTACAGAGCTAGTTTAAATTTCACGCTTTTCAAAAATTGTATTAGTTATTTGCAACTATTAACAAGTCACTTGCACATTTTTGTAATTCATGTAAGTTTTTGAAAACTTCGCAACCCTTCGGCCGAGCCCATCCCTTCGGCACCCCACTGCTACATTGTGATATTTCGCTCGAATTTTCGAGAGTCCTTTACAAATTAATAGGATTTTTGAGCCTATCACAACAGTTGTCTGAAGAGCGGGTGATGATTTCTAAGAAATTGATAAGAGCGGAATTCATTGCATAATCTGCATAAAGCGCGATGATCACAGTTCAGCTCGCGAACATGTTATTTTAGTCAAACGTCTTTCTCAATTAGCGGAAATTGTGCTATCTGGTAATATTAACCTCAAGTGCGACGCCATCACTGTATTTCCTTCCGTCCGGTGCATAAACGATCTTCTTTCGGGTGCTCATGAACAGCGGTCTATACGAAGGCGTCCGTTTCAGCGTTGGTCTCGTAACTGAAAAAAAGACAATCGTTTTGCCTTGATTAAAATTGCTCTTGACGGTATACAATCCGGCATACATTAGTGGAACAGGTTACAGCAAATCATTCTCATGTAAATTGCCTCACTTTTACCCATCATTACCGGCGGGCATAATACGCGTTAATATATTATCATTTTTGACGTGACGACCAAAGTTCATTTACATCATATTAATGGATTAACTAGAAATCAACATGCTCTTACCTCCATCGGTATTTTTGCAATGTGGAGGTTCATCCCTACGTGGAGCAGCGTAGTAATCAATGGGTGAATCGCAGGGCACGTTTACCATACCAATCATTTTCTGAAGAAAAAAAAAAACGAGTTAACGAGCAGCAAAAGCAGAGCCAACGTAAATGCGCTGAAATAGTCTCAAGCACGCGTAGACATTGAAGATACATATATAGGTCCTCTCAATGGCAGTGTCCCTTTCGACTGCGCTACGCATCCGCAGCGCGACGTCCTCGCCGGGCGACCTTTTGTCGATTCTCAAGCTAACCGCCGGCGAAACGCTGCGCGAGGCACTGGCGAGGAGGATGCGCTTATCATAAACCGGAAACAGTCAGTGCCTATTGAGCAAATTTTATCTAAGATGGATATAACAGTGAATCGTTTTGACATGTACCGAAAAAATGCGGCACAATACAATTTTAGAAGATATTTTGCACAAGTGTCATGTAATTTTACAAGGGTAAGTTCTTGTATACAATCCGAGTGCTTCATGGACACATGTTCCTCAATAACTTCTATGCGCAAAAAGCAATTCTAGCATAGCTGCATAAAAAGATAATACCACGCTTGCTGTTTGCATAAGCGCATTGAGAAATTGCACAATCGAGGAGCGACGGGTTTTCAAAAAAACTGCGAAGAATGGGGGGCAAAGCATAGTATAAGATCGCGTGAGGAAATTTCTTTCATATTTAGCATAGAGTCAATCATAGCTGAGCGCCAGTGATTGATAACGAGTCACGCGACTGAAATGCCATGCTTTCCAATACAATAAAGAGTTCGTGAATACTTGGAAAAACTTCTTTTCCCCAATATCTTACTTGGTGGGATGAAATCTTACAATATATGATAGATAGGCTAGTGAAATAGCATGTGAGGTTTGAGTAGTCCCATATTTTTATTGATTTTGCGAAATCAGGAAAAGAGTTCGAAAATAGTACTCCGCGAACAAGGACATCGTCCGCAAAAAGCAGATAATCCCAAAATATGAGGTGATTTTTACAACTTTTAGAAATTCGCAGCCAAACAATCCAAATCCTCTCTTTGAAATGGGGTCCCGAAGAGCTCAAAGTAAAAAAGTCGTTTTAGCAAAGGGACATGGAATATTTATCACTCATTAACTTTTGTAATAGCGTATGTTTAGACTTTACAATAATCAGACAAAGAAAACAAAGTTGAAACAATAAAGATCCAATAAACGAATAATCAATATGAAGGGTAGTCCTCACAATGTTTGACAGTGGAATAAAAAAAGAGGCCACGCAGCTATTTATATTTGTAAAGCCAAAGTACATCAGTAACACCAGAGATGTCCGAAATGTCAGAGTAAACCAAGAATAGAGACCAGAGATACAAATATAGGTCCTCCCGAGTGATTCTCTTTAGTGTCAAGAGAGCATCTGTCATCACCTCTATGATGATACTGCGATGCTCTGAGGGCGTGGTGAGCACGGAGCCCATTTTGTAGGGCGAGAAAGGGCGGGGTGGGGGGGGGCAGACAACGTCACCGATGGAATTTCAAACAGTATCGGTGTGCAGACGAAATCGGGCGTGGGTGCTGAGTGATAGCGGTGATAAACGCATGCCAATACCTGGATAGCGGGGGGGGGGGGGCTGTTCACGGATAGCAACAATCATTTTGTTTATTTTTTTGCAGCAATGACGCACAAAGCGTCTGGGCGCAAAGTCAAGCTTAGCATGCCAGGCATTGCTGACATTTAAGAGAAATTATTTCGTAGACAAGAGCTTTTGCCATATCTATTTGCTTATCTTATTATTAGGGGTTTGTCTTCATGGCCTCCATTACAGATTGACACATTCTACACATAAACACAGCAAAAGCAATTTTTTATCTGTTTTCATTTCTTATCCTCCACTCTTCTGCTCAACCAAGTAAAGCTTTGTAAGAGGGAAACATTTCAGGACACCGCAGCATATTTTTTACACCCGGAAATCTCTTAAAATAGCGAATTTGTCGAATAAACAATGAACACTTTCTCTATATCTTATTTACAAAATGCAATATATTTTTGGGCTGTTAAAGGGTCTTCTAGCTCAAAAAAGGGGAAAATTGAGATGTAACCCTGGTGAAACACTGCTTTTTTTAAACATTGAACTGAAGAACGAGACGGAGGCAGCAAAAATGGGAACGACTGCCAGCAGAAGGAGGAGGTAAGAGAAGGTACCATTTCCATAGTTTTTCAGATTTCCAAAAAAAAAGTAAAGAATGGGAATGAAATATTACTCCAAAGGGCACGATTTCTTTCAGAGGCCTTATAAACTGGTTACATTACTTGAATTTGAAAAATTCGAAAAAATCGGACCTTCGTCGTTCATCGATACGTGGTAGAATCCTCACATTGCATTATTGAAATTTTCTTCCACTTCATTGTTTTTTACGGTAATTGGCACTTCTCATAATCGAGTGTCTCATCCCTTACATTGTTTTATCGAGCCGAGGTATGTGCAGTCTGAAAAACTATTTTTATTAAGGCTATTGAGACGGAAGCATACCCATACAGACATTTACGGTTTGCAGATATGTTTTTTGATATTTACGATCAGCGGCTTATGAAGAATGAATCATGTTACTATTTTAACACTCGTGCTATATATTCAATATAGTTAATTTCCTCTTTCCGGTAATGTTGCTCAATATTGAGAATATCAATGATTTGGCATATGATTGCTTCTTATCATCGTATGGCTCGTAATAATGTAGTTTTTGCAGTATAAGAAAGATACCTTGAAGGTTTTTTCCTAAGTGTTCAGCTTTTGACTCAGCAGATTGAGCAGATGAAAAGTAGCTACTCACTCATATTTAATGAGTCATTTTCATCAAATCAGCTCCGCTGCAGATGACTCTTTTTGCTTATGAAATATACGGAACTGACCAGCAACGCATGCAACGTCAGGAAGATTAGGAATTAAATCTACAAATCCGAAATATTTCCCATCATACGTGGTTATTCGCATACCTATGACGTCATTCGGAAGCACATCCTTTCCTCGCGAAAAACCACAACTAGTCCAAAAAATGTGAAATCGTGTGAGTGTATGTCAACAATGAGATGTGATGACAATCTTTTCATTCGAGGTAAGCGAGAATAGCGTTTGTTATATGACTCAGAAGTGGACAGCCAAAACAGGAGTGATATTTTGCTGCATTTCTGCATCGGAATGTTGATCTGCATTTGATCCTCTAAAAGGCTTGTTGACGACGAATACAACATGGTGGGTGACGGAACTACCACCTACACGAGGATTAGTGAAGGGTAAAAACCCTACGCGAACATCATACAATGAGAGTAGGGTTTGAAGAAGTGCAACGAACTAGAGATTTGATTCAGTGTAAAGTACAATTCAATGTGTGAAACATGAAGAGTATTGCACACAAATGTGAAGAAATTTCAGCAATTTCGCACTCTCCTTGCATTTGAAATCAAAAGCTAAATCAAATCAATCTTTTTTCAGAAAAAGTGCACAAGAATTTCTAAAGTCGAGACTCATAATGTGAGGTTCATCTTTTCCCTCTTTTCAACATTTACAATGTCAATCAAATTATTACCTGAATTAAACCACTTAACTTTTGAAATGCTCAGATTTCATTCTTTTTTCTCGATCAACAAGCAGAGTTTTTCTATCTTGTTACGCCAAGCACTCAGGGCCCGGCGGGGGTGGCGCTTTCACAAGCTGGATATCGTTTTTGGCCCGAAAAAGCAAAGGGGAAGTCATATTTTGAGGTCCGGGGCGAAGCCCTTTACCGATATACAATGCACATATCATTCTTTATTCATCATTCCTTGTTGATGCTACTGTCCTACAAACTTAGATTCCAGCAATGTGAAGATTCTGTGCTCCGATCGCTAGCCTGCCCGCAGGCGGGAATTCAAATCGCAATTCTTGTAAGAGGAAAATAACAAAATAGGCTCGTTATCAATGCACAAGTAACGATATGGCACCAAATTTGCTGTGTAGTTGGAGGACCATGAGCACAAAAAAAGTATGAAGAATTATGAGCTTATGTGAATTTAAAAAATGGTAAGTGTTTTTCGAAATTAGGTGGCTCCCGCGCCACCTGGGAGCCACCTGGGGTGGCTCCCTGCTTCCCTTCACATAATTTCCCGAATTTCTTTACATAAATGTAGACTAGGTCGAGAGTATTACTATATTTTCAAATCCGCTTCCAAAACCACCAAGCACCTCTTCGATACAGCCCCAAATAGGGTTCACAGCGTTATGATCAGCCTCGGAAAGCGCGCTCCAATCGCAATCGGTTATTGTAAATTGTAAAGTTTCGCAGCTGACTATTAAATGAGTAGTATCTTAGATATATAAACGTCAAAGTTTGTGCAAATCTTGACCCTATGTTTTTTTATAGATTCCTTTGCGGATGAACCCATTGAAAACCTTGATGACCCGGGCTGGACCAGGAAAGCCAGGTAGTACTACTATAATAAGCGCTGAGGCCGCCCATCTTATTATTTGTGTACATCTGTTTGTCAGGGAATTACGGGGGTCAAAAATAGGGTCAAAGGGGAAGACGTAAGAAATTTTGGCTTCAAAGGGGATATCGTTTTCAAAATTCTGAAATGCCACCTCCTGCCGGGCCCTGCAAGCACTTCAGAAATTCTGCTAAATTTAGGTCTCGAATTACTTACGCCTCAAAGTTGTTCACAGGTACAATTTACAAAATTCCATCCGAAAAATAAATAATACTGCATAAGAAACATGAATCTTCTCGTAGACTAAATAATCTCGATACTAGATATAATGAGTAACACCATGAATCTGGAAGAAGTCTAGAATTGCCTGCAAATGGTCATATCCACCACAGATTACCCAAGTCAGTAAATGCGAAGTACTAGATTCTATAGCAATATTTCAGAGGTCTTAAGTATGAGTGCTAAGGAGATTATTTCACAAAGTCAACTTTGTTATCTTGTATTATCTTATTATCTGTCCAAATTTTTTCCGAGGAGACAGAAACTTTCATGTGAGACTTCGCCAGCTCCAAAATTGAGTATTCTGAAATTTTCGCCGGCCCATTTTTTCAAAAAAATTCAAATGTTATTTTGATCATTTTGGTCCGGAAGAAGAACTCGGTACACATTTGTCTAGTAGAAGAACATTTTTTCAAAAATCGAATAATATTTTGATCATTTTGGTCCGGAAGAAGAACTGAGGGAGAGGAGGGGGAAAGGCTTCTTCGGTGCGCCGCTGTCCGCAAGCGATTGTAAATGGAGTATTTTAGATCAAAAGTCTTGAAAGCGGTGGACAGTCAGTGTAAATATCTATACTTCGCATTTCTTCGAGCAGCGGACCCGCCCTCATTTGGCATTAAACCAAACCTTCGAACTCTTGGCGGATGCAGCTTTGTACCACCCAGATAGTCGCAACGAGGTTCTTCCTATGTTTTTACGGAATGTCTCTTTGACTTGACATATATGAGCATGATGGAGCAAACTACCGGCTACTAGGTACATGGAATTTTTTGCAAATCTCAGGATCGTTCGAATCTTAGCGCCAATGTTTCCCGCATATTGGAAGTTTGGTTCAAGTGCTCGAAGGAAAAGGAATATTAACATCTAGTAATCTTAGAAATGGTCAACAGATTCTATTTAGACGCTTTTTTGGAAGACGTGGAAATAAAATGCTACTAAGTAACTGCTGCATGGTTATAGCTTTCAAATTCACTTCAGAGACAAAACTACCACTGGCACGCGAGTAACATTTGCAAAATTTTTATTTGCTGTTATAGAGAAAATAGCTGCAATGCGATTACAAGATGTGTCAAAATTCTGGGAGCCCAGTACTTTCTCACATAAAATCAGAAGAGAAGTACCTCGAAACAAAAAATTTGGTGCGAACCAATTTCGGACCATTGCAAATACAGCTCACATCTTATATTTTAATATTCTCTGTTTTGGACTCTACGAGCCCTTCAAAATCTTGATGAATCCACCCGTGGCACGCAGCTAGTCATCTTGAAGTTCGTCCTACGCCTTAACGGTAACTGCTTCCTTGACTATGTGCAACATGATAGAACAAGCTTTTGGCTACAATATATTACAAATAAATTTATTGAATTTTTGAATTTGAAATGAATTTTCACGTGAATTTTCAAAAGCTGAGTTCGTTGGCGATTCTAAGCAAAGCTGGAATTGTTCCAACAACCGAATTCAAATAGATACTTATTTGTTTATTTATTTATTTAATACGCACAAGGCGCGCCCATACAACAGAAGAACGAAGCATCACACCAAACAACTAACAACAAAAAAAAATAAAACAAAAAGGCAAACTCCCCACTGAGTCAGTTCAAGTTCAGTCCGCAAAATTTTTCTGGGAGGAAAGGGAGTGAGCTTGTTTAGACATATATGAAGTCATCACAGGTATAGAGGTTCAATGGAGTCTGAC